TTCCCTAAGATTCCCACTCAAATGAATGTCCATTGCAGCTCTGTACCAACTGGAGACCAGTCCCTATCTTATATCCATGGCCTCCCCAGAAGAAAGCTTAGAGACTGGTCCTTGGAAAAGATGGTGATAAGTGACCCTGACCAACTCGAGGTGTGTATATTTTAAGAGTTGTTTCCTACTGTGGTTGAGGGGATATTTGTTGACTGCATAATTTTGTGCAGAACAGATGATAAAACAAGCTGAAGGTAGACTAATGGACACATCAGACTCTATGTGTCCAGTCAGCTATACAGGAAGCTTCCCTGGGGAGCTCATAGGCAAACCCTGAATGTCTCGATTGATCTCCCCTCTCTCCCACCTTCTTCAAGTATTCCTAAGCTTGGGAAGGGCTACTATACTCCCAGTGAACTGTCAGGAACTGAGTATCATCCTTGATCCTGCACCCCAAGCCCTAAACTTTCAGATCCAATGGGTCTCTAAGATTTGTTATTCTAAACTTTCATGCAATTCAAAAAGTTATTTAGTAAAAGACAGATCATGTACAATAAAGAACCTTCTCATAGAATATGTACTCCTAAATGATTTGCTTCATTTCTCCTCTTGAAGGAAAAGAGCTAAGATACTGCAAACTAATGAACACATTCAGAGTGAATACTCACCTTTAGTGCTAGTTACCAACTTGTCCCATTGTAGGCCAGGCCTGAAGGTGGACATTTGGATACCATCTCTGATGTGCCTTTGGCCATCTTGTTTTAGTCAACTGACTTCCTCCCTTCCTCTTTCCTCCCTCCCTTCCTTTTTTCCTTCTTTCCTTCTTTCAATTTTTTCCCTCTTGGCCAGAGACAAAGTGGAACAACAAGAGAAGACACTTTTCTTCTTGCCCTGGTGAGAAGAGAACTCAAGTCATGCCTTTTGAGTCCTAGCTTATTAGACAAGCTTCAGAAAGAGCTGAAGACCCTGGACCCTATCTCTTCAGGATTTCTCCTCCAATCTCAGCTGAGCCGCCTCTTCTTGAGGAATGAAGTTCCTCTACAGTTACCAACAATCAAGATTCTTTGCCAGAGATTTTCTAGGAGGAGCTCTCCTGAAATGGTATGACCATCTTATATAAAGGATGAGTTCCTTCTGTTTCTTTTCCTTGTGCCCACCAGGGCAATAGAATTAAGAGGTTAATTTCTCTCTTGAAAAATGACCTTTTCTATTGACTTCTAAGATAAAAAGCTTATTTATATTCATATTTGAAACCTCTAACATAAAAAGCTTATTTATATTCATATGTGGAAATTGGTAGTCAGAACAGACCAGAATAGAAAATAGATTTAGATCTCTCGGTCCTGTTTAATTTCTCTTTAAAGGACTTTCTTATTCTAACTTTCACTGTCTGTTCTTAACGCTATTAGGGTAGTTACAGATTCAAGATAATGAGCCTACTTGAGTCCATTCATGATCTGATGCTCTGCAGGCCCCAAGATAAGAATGGAGGACTTCACTGGGATCTCCTGTGTTTCATGCCAGTTTCCTAGAGAATTAGAGGTGGAAGTATCTTTGAAATTTAATTTGCCACCATCGTTTCACTGATTAGGAGCTAAGCACAGAGGTTGTCAAGGAACTTGGCACTCAAAGAATTAATGGCAGACCCTGAGGCTGAGCCACAAGCTCCCCAGTGACAAGGCCAGAGTTTTTTGACACTCTCCTGCTCAAATTCATACTAGCGGCTGAATATAAAGTATGGTCCAAATGTAACCAAATGTAGAGAGCCAGAGGTAAATATTCTAAGCAATGAAGTCACAGCAATGAGCAAATCATTAGTGAGCAGGTATCGACCTGGAGGTAATAGAGAGTACCAACAACTTAACCAAAAGAACTGTTTAAAGAGGCATGGGATTAATCCTAATTTCACCATCATCAGCTCTGTGACCAAGATATATGCTACTTAATTTCGCTGATACCTTAGTGAGCTCATCTGGAAAACCAGGCCAAAATGCACCTCATGGGGTAGATTCAGCTTTTATTTACGTGATAAATGGAGATTACTTGGTCCTGTGACTATAGTTTAGTAGGAATGCAAATGTTAGTTCTCTTACCTGCTCACTCACCTGCCATAGTAGAATTAGTTATACATGGATGAGAAATATTTTGCAACACACCATCGACTGTTAGTACAACCTATGTGAATCTTCCGTTTAGTCAGATTTTCTGGTCTGAGACCTAGTTTGTATCAGGAACCCAGTCTAACTTCTCTCATCCAGTGCCATCCCATCCGCTGGCCCGGACATGCCTGCATTTGAATGGAGATGGCCGGCATGCTTTCAGTCCTTCGCTGTGTGAAACAAACAAACAAAAAAGTCGTGAATCTTTTGACCTAGTCTTATAAATTCTTGTCCCCAGAAAATATGAATATATTGATAGCTGCTGAATAGATCTAAATACAAGCATAGATTATATATAATAAATATACAGGAGATGTGGGAAGGAGAAAGGCGAGATGCACGGTTATGTTATAGTAATGAATAATCCCGAAGTTTCAGTGACTCAAAACAATGGAAGTTTATTTTTCACTTTGATTACACTTCTTGTAACAAGTTAGCCACAGGCTCTCCTCAGCACCGTCATTATCTCAGCCTCTAGTCTTATAAATTCTTTTCCCCAGAAAATATGAATATATTGATAGCTGCTGAATAGGTCTAAATACAAGCATAGATTATATATAATAAATATACAGGAGATGTGGGAAGGAGAAAGGCGAGATGCACGGTTATGTTATAGTAATGAATAATCCCGAAGTTTCAGTGACTCAAAACAATGGAAGTTTATTTTTCACTTTGATTACACTTCTTGTAACAAGTTAGCCACAGGCTCTCCTCAGCACCGTCATTATCTCAGCCTCAGGACACACACTGATGAAACAGCCCCTCTGGAATATTTCAGGTCATAGCATCAGAGGGGACAAAGCATTCCAGAGGGTGTTATGTCAGCAGTATAATTTTCAACCCAGAAGTGGCATGGGTCACTTCTGCTCACAACTCATGAGCCAAACACAGTCGTGTGGCCCTATCCAACTACAAGGTAACCAGGAAGTCAGTTTTACCATTTGTCCAGAAGGAAGAATAATGGGGTTGTTTAGTAAAAGGACTATTAATTATGATACTATACTTTATATGCACTTTTTAAACTTTTAGTGGTAACAATTTTCCAAACACATTTATCTCCACAGGCCTCTTTCCCCTATAAATTAAACTTGTAAATTAAATGAGAATGTTCTATTTTATATTTAATTGCCAGGTGAATTATGGAAAGCTCCTCCAGTTTTTAAAAGAAGCAGCTACAGATGATTCACAGCAAACACAAACTGTTGCAAATGATAGTCCGAGGGACAGTCAGAGCCAGAACAAACTCAGTCAAAGGTATTTGTCTCCCTTTTTGTGAGCACATTGTTTCTAGATGTCTTGGTCAGTCTGAGCTTCCCTAACAAAGCATAGAGCAAAGCATACCATAGCCTGTGTGACATATGAAAACCAGACTTATTTCTTACACTCTAGAGGATGAAAGTCTAAGATCAAGGTGCCACATGGTTAGGTGCTGGTGAGGGTCTTCCCGTGGTTTGCAGACTGCTAAATTCTCACACTATTGGATGAGAGTGAGCTAGTTCTCTGGCCTCTTTTTTTAAGGGCACTAATGCCATTTAATGAGGGCTCCACCCTCATGACCTAATGACCTCCCAAAGGCCCCCCCTCCAAACATCATCACATTGGGATTAGGGTTTCAACATACGAGCGCTGGCAGGGCACATTCAGTCCATTGTACTAGACTTCTAGAGTTGGCAGGGATCTTGGAGGCATTTTCTCTAAAATCTCAACCAATGTGGAATCACTGTGCTCTTTACCAACACTTGGCTCACGCTTATAGTTTTCTTTCTCTCTCTCGTCTGCAGGCCAGCATTGAAGTTATTTGCAGCAATTGCATATGTTTCTTAACATCAAGCATGTGTCTTTTTATGAGGTTTCTGTGTGAAAAAGAAAAACCTCATTATCGAATAAGAAGGGATTGTGTATGGGAGCAGAGCTTATCTATAAAGTGTGATTTCAAAAATATGTTCAGTCAGTGAACTCCTAGGTTATAGACACTAACCAAAAAAGGTTTGCAATACAGGAATCAATAAATTCTTCACATAATATCAAGGAAAAGAAATGACTCAAAATAAAAATAAGATATGAGGAATAACATTAGAGATTAATTGCAATGAGTATTGTCCATGTTAGCCAAAAAAAATAAATAAGTAAAATAAAGCAACAAAGTAGATAAGCATAATCTCGATTGCCAGAAGCCTGGGTTCAACTCTCATCTCTGCCACTCAATACTGTGTGACCTTAGCATTCACTCAACCTCTCTGTGCTTCCATTCTCCAATTATAAAGTGGAGGTAAGAATAAATTTAACTTTACTTCACTTATTTATAAATATAACTAGGTGAGTAAATGTAACATTCTTAAAAACAGTGCCTGGTACATAACAATTATTTTATACGTGTCATTATTATTTTTCTTTCTTTCTTTCTTTTGGAGAGGTTTTTGCTATAGGGCATGTTCGCTCACCAGACAGACAGAGAGACAGAGAGACAGAAAGCAAGAAATCACCCCCCAGGGGGCATGGCCACACTGCAATCCCTTCTCTTCCATTCTCTTCTCAGGATCTTGGGCATGCACACACACGTGCCCAGTGTGAGTTTAAGCCACCAGGTCTGGGACTCGAACCGTGGTCAACTATGTGAGAGTCCAGCGACATACCCATTACGCTAACTGCTGGTCCCATGTGTCATTATTTTTTTTTTTTGAGAGATTTTCACTGTAGGGCGCGTGTGCTCGCCAGACAGAGAGAGACATAGAGACAGAAAGCGAGAAATCACCCCCCAGGGGGGATGGTCACGCCGCAATCCCTTCTCCTCCATTCTCCTCTCGGGATCTTGGGCACGCACGCACATGCACCTGGCGTGAGTTTTAAGCCACCGGGTCCGGGACACGAACCACGGTCGACTACGTGGGAGTCCAGCGACATAGCCATTACGCTAACTGCTGGTTCCCATGTGTCATTATTTTTAAACTACCCTTCCCAAAGACCCTCTTATCAGTTACAGATAATGTGAAGAGTGGTTGAGAATAATAGTAGTGGAGTTAATCATTGTTTCACCATGGGAAAAGGGTAGGGTTTCTCAGAAAAATGTCCCTGAACTATTGTTGGATTTGATGGCCTTCTATGGTATGCTGTCTTTGATTGTGATATCACATTCAATGAACATTTCTTGAATATCAGCTACTTTATGGGTCCAGTTTGCTGAGCAGTGAATTCTGAGGTTGGCAAGGCCCTTCTTTCATAGCCCAAAGAAAATGATACTGCCACGTGGTACTTGAGTCAAATGCCACTGTGGGAGCAACTGTATTTCTGAGAGTCATAAAGTCCTAGAAATGTGTAGTAGTCAGCAACCACTCTTCAAAGAATACAGGCAGTGAGATGTGGGCCCTGAGAGGTGATAGAGCACACAGTAGAACATAGAGCCAGTCACTGGCAGACATGGCTCCTAGAGACAGGATGCCCATTCTGATGCTTATGTCTCTTGATTATATGGTCCTTCCTCTTCATAACAGTCATTGTACTTGTAATTACTTATTTGACATTTAGGATCAGGAGTGCTGTTTGTTAAAAAAAAATAAAAGCAAAAAGAGTGCTGTTTCTTCTCACCAACTCTGTGTCTACCATAGTTCTAACATAGTCCCTGCCATAGGAAGATGTTCAGTAAATACTTTTTTTTTTTTTTGGAGAGATTCTTGCTATAGGGCACATGTGCTTGCCAGAAAGACTGAGAGAGATGGAGAGACAGAAAGCGAAAAATCACCCCCTAAGGTGCAATCCCTTCTCTTTCATTCTCCTCTCAGGGTCTTGGGCACACACACACAAACACACACACACACACACACACACACACACACACATGTGCCTGGCATGAGTTTAAGCTACTGGTTCCAGGACTCTAACCACAGTTTGGGAGCCCAGCGACATAGCCATTACGCCAAATGCTGGTCCCAGTAAATACTTTTTTAATATGATTGACACCTCCAATTATTTAAAGAGCTGGCATCACTTCCCTTTCAAGACACCTAGATATCTTTGCTATAAAAAAAGGTATCTAAATAAATCATTTTGAGCTCATTACAGAAAGTATTGCTTTATGCAACCAGATAGTATATTTGTAGAAATGCAGTCCTATAATGAAGCAATGCTCTTTGTTAATTAACACACACTCAGGTAAATGCCCTTCCCATGTTCTACCAAGTAGATCCTTTAATAGGGTAGCTATGTGATTTTTAAAAAGATTCCAACAATACCAGTGGCAAGGCAGACAACAGTTCTCAGCGCCTAAGTTGGACCAGATGAAATGAATTCCTGTAACAGGCTTGCTAAGAAACCCCACCAGCTGCAGCAAATGGGTTCCATAACACCTGCCTAGTGCTTAGTGTACTAAGTCAGGGGCCAAAGTCTCATTAATTCCTACCCTCAGGAACTGGCATTATAAGAAAAGAGGAAGGAAAACTCGTGATTCAAATCTGGGACAGAGATATCTGATTGGCAGAGTCTGGGTCACGTGTCCTCGCTGCAAAGAATGGCCGGTAGAGCAAATAGGTAGCAATCTCCCCTGCTAAAAGAAGAGGTAGACTGTCTCCCGAGTTAGAGAATTCCCTAATAAGTAAAGGGGGTGCAAGAGCTAGCAACCAAGACTAAGACACATATTCACCATCCCTTCCCTATAACAAACTTTTGGAAAATATTATGTATTACTAAACAGTTGAGAATAGTAAAATTTGGGGCCAAAACTTATATAAGAGTTACAGAGCAAGCATTTGACTTCATCAAACAGCCTATGAGGAAACTTAGACTTAAAACAACTTAGAAAATAGAAAATTTAAATGACATTGCAACTTAAGGGAGTCTATTAAGGAAAAGAATGAGATTACTATGAATGAGTAAATTAAAAAGGGGTAGGCTGGAGCTGGACATGGGGGCTAATTATGTACAACTGTTCCCATATCTCAAAGATGTCACAATGGCAGCTTGAAATCAGCCGTGGTAGAAAATATTTATGCCCTGGAAATTGAGAATGCTACAAATTAGGGCTTTATCTTAGATATCTGGTGGTTCAAGATTTGTTTAACACACCACAAAAAGGAAACTTACTAATCAGATGCCGGCTGAGAGGTGTCATAGATTGTCCCTCTGGGAATGTGGCATTTAAGTTGAGATGGTAGAAATCAGTAAATCTTCACACAGGAGCTATAATTTAGCTAGATCTGGGGGGAACAAATACATTAGAATTCTGGGAAGTTTTCTTATTTCTTCCGTGAGTGAAAGAGAGAGAGCACCCCCAACAGGGACTCAATGCCATGACTCTCCCCACCACCTTTAGTTAGTCCGGGATCATGGATAAACATGGACCCACTGTACTCAGGAAATTCTCAGGACTTGAACCATGAACCTTCTCATGCGGGATTGTCTTATAGAGTGTCACATCTAACTGCCATGCTACCATCTGTCCCCCCATAATTGAATGTTAAATGAGTAAACATCTTAAACTAGTTAAGTAACATAAATGACTGTAACATTTTATTACCATGTTGTTTTTACCTATTACTTAAAGTAAAATTGTCAGTTAGATTAAACCAGCTTAAAATTTATATACAGTTACATGCCAGACTGTAAGTAAATCATTATTCCCAAAACATTTCTGAGTTTTCAGGAAGTTCACTTGGTTCAGGATTTCCTCCCATATAGACAGGGGTCTGGCAGAATCTGCTTTGCTTGACTTTGCTTTGTTTGTGGTAATGCAATGTTTAGAAATTTGATTTTCCACCCATAATTGAGTTTAAGAAAAGTAAGATCAGACAGGTAAAACAAGCTACTATGAGCACTTTTTTAATAAGTAATAGTAGTAATTATTACTTCAATTTCAACCTAGAAAAAAAAAGTTGGAAAGTTGGATGAAGAATTTTGGTCTATGTTGTAGTCAAACTAGTTGGTGACTCCTGGAGGAAAGACTGTAGAACAGCCATTAGTTAATCTATGAAATTCCCATTTGCAATCCCTGACAGGTTGCCAAGATGCATTGGGTACAATTGTATTTTTGCTTAGAAAAATACATCAAGACTTTTCCAACAACCCAATAGAAGGCCTTTAGTAGGTGGGCTCTTTTTCACAAGTGTAGCAGAGTTAGAAGACTAACATGAAAATACGCAGCTGCTTGAGTGGATCGCCTTCTCATAGTCTTTCCCTGCTCCTCCAATTAGTACTCCACCTCCAGACAGCAGCTTGAAGTCAGACACAAACATGAGCCTGTTGGAGATCTTGAAGATGGTACTACGAACAACCAATGGCAAACTCAACATAGAGAACCTCAGTCTAAGTTTTCGAAAAGAAGATCGTTCCTTCTCTGGCTGTCTTCCCCCACCCAAGGTAACTCAAATTAGATTTCTGACTTGTTCTTCTAAAAGGCATTGGATCCATAGTAATAAGGCATAGTTACAGTCTAGCTGCAACCTACGGATTACAACACACAATTATTTTTGTGCCTGCGAGGAGAGAAACAAAATAGAAAGGCGATTGTGAAATCTTCAGAATTGGCCCAGGAGTTACTACATTTGGCTCTTTTATGTTAGTAATAGAGAATAAGGCAATACCCAAATAGTATTTCACAATGAAAAACAAGTATTTTTCCACAGCCAAATGTTCATTTCTCATATTCCCTCTCAGCTTCCAGTAAGATCAGCATATGTTATCCCATTTCTTAAGAAATGGGATAACAAATTTTAGGGACTGATGTAATCTGTTGGTGAGAGAGGTTAGCATGTTGTTTTAGAATATTAATTAACAGCACAAGTGTGTTTCCTGAAAAAGAATCTAGAACCATATTAATCTATAGGTATTCTATAGCAAAAAAAATTAATAATAATAATTATGAGGCCTCCTTGACTACCATTGAAGTAATAATCACTACTATTACTATAATTCCATTAAAAATATAGTTGTTCCTTGACATAAGATGGGGTTTCATCCTTGTAAACTCATTTAAGTTGAAATTATCACAAGTTGAAACTTCATTTAATATATTTAATATAACTAGCTTAGCCTAATGAACATGATAGCTTAGCCTAGCCTACCGTAAACATATTCACAACACTTACATTAGCCTAGAACCAGGCAAAATTGTCTAACACAAAGCCTACTTAATAATGAAGTGTTCAATAGCTCATGCAACTTATTGAATACTATACTGAAAGTGCAAAACAGAAGTGCTGCATAGGTCCTTGAAATATAGTTTCTACTGAACACATATCACTTATGTACCATCATAAAGTCAAAAAATTATAATTCCGGGGCCAACAGGTGATGTGGTAGTTAAAGGCCCTGAATTCACACATGGCCAACCAGGGTTCAAGTCCAGACCTGGCAGCTTGCTCTCTCTCTCTCTCTCGTCAGAATTGAAAAATAATGATAATAAATAAATAAATATTTTTAAAAATTTAATGCAAATCATTGTATGACACAAACCATCTGTACATTATTACCACCATACTTTATGACATTTTTACTAAGTACAAATCACTGTATTAAATGCTTTACTTATATTATCACATTTAACATTTACAAAGTTAATTCCTTACAACGTACTACAAAATCTAAGTAGATGTGATTATACCCACTTAATAAATTTAAAAAAAGAAAAAAAGAAAGTCTCAGAGAAGTCAATTGAATCATCCAACAGCCACGAATAACAAGTGGTAGAGCCAGAATTCAAAGTAGAGTTCTGACAACTGAATTAGCCAGAATTGAACCTCTGTTGGGTAGAAGATATGTGGAAGATTCCATTAAGTCCAATATAAAAGAATTAGAATTTCAAAGGATTAGTAAGAAATGGGAATTACAGGCCAAACTGTTTTTTAAAGTCCTATCAGAAAGATCAGCAATTACCTTTCATCCTTACATAGAGGTGTTAGACTTGAGAAAGAATGTAAAAGAATGGTGACAGTTTGCAAAGAAAGGACATGATATGCTACAACTGAGTTCTTATTCTAGGACAAAAAAAGCTCTCTCTGTGCTTTCATTTATATAGTCAACTGTGCAGAGGCAAAGCTCATGTGTGTGTGTAGTGTTTGTGTGTGTGTGTGGTATGTGTGCATGTGTGTGTATGAAAGTTACATGTGCAAGCATGTTGCCCTAGAGAGAAAGATAATACTTCAGGAAAGTCTGCACATCATAAACAGCCTTCATTTTGTTTTAAGATCTATAGAAACAGACTAAGAAGCAGCATTTCTTTGTTAGATTAGAAACCACATAACATCATTGGTGATGCTTGAATGTTCTCAGATGATACTCTAGGATGGGATATTAATTAAAATCCATTTACTTATCTCCTTTGAGTCTCAGATTTTCCACATGAGAAAATTGGGGTCCAAATAGCTACCTCCTGTGTCTATTGTGAGTCTTAGACAAGATAAATATGTAAAGGCACTGAGTACCGAGCTATGCAAGGCACTTACTAAATAGTAGTTTCTTTCTCTTTGTATTAAAAAAGAAAGAAAAATCAAAGTTTGGTCATTCTAAACATCCTTGTAAACAGAAGAAGGATCTTTCCCACAGTTAAGTGATAGCCACATCAAGTCCTGACTATATGAACAGACCTCGAATATTCTTCCCTCCATGACCAGCCCTGAAAGTTTAACTTGTGGTTCAGATCCAAAGAAATGGGGCACATTTTCCTTGAAGCTAGTCTGCCTTTTGTGAGCCATCTGGCATCTCTTAAGACATCTGGAACTCACTCAAAGTACATTACAGTTCTGGGAGGCATGTAAAATGGAATGGTTTCCCCAGAACATGAGGCAAATTTAGGCCCAAAGGACATTGGGTACAGGAAGCAGCAATGGTCAGGCCCCAACTTCCTTGCTCCTGGATACAGAACTTCAGAGTGGAACTGGAAAGCAGGTCTGAATTAAAGGATTTTTTTTTTTTAACTTTTGATCAGCATTTCTTAATCTCCTTAGGGTGTAGGAGAGAATCACAAACCTTCTTGAGTTTCCCATGAAAGTTGTGCTCTCTCACCCTGGGAAAATAAAAAATAAGCATATCAACACAGAAAACATTTCAGAGGGTTTGCAGATCATCTATAGCTTCCAAGATAAATAAATTCAATTTTAAAGTTTCCAAGATATTTAGATGCAGTTTTAAAAGATGATCTATGGGTCTTGTCACTCAAATCAATGGAATTCTGACCATTCACAAAGAACAGTATAACAACATATCAAGTAGCCTTTGAGTCTGTGGACTTATTCATCCTAGCCATCCTCAGTCCAGTACTTCTTCAATGCAATGCTGATTTCTGGTCCAACTCCTAAGGCAATGTGGATCCACATTTAATGACCACCTATTCTGATGATTGCCCAAGTAAGGTGTTCATTAGGGATATAGAATCTAAGAAGTTCTTATGTGCAGGCTCAGCTTAACCTGCTTCTACGTGATCTGTATGCTTCATTTCCTGAACCTGTCCTTTTTCTGCCTCAGATCTCAAACTCCTTCAATCTGCTCTCAGACCTACCTCACCAGAGTGCTAGCTAAAAAACAGGTTGTTCTACCTCTAATTGCTCCTTGTTTCATTTTACCAGTTCCATGTAATGTGGCTTCCTCATTATCATCATTTTCATCCCCTATTGAACTAACCAGGTTTTCTGAATGTGAAGTTCGTTTTTGTGGAAAGATTCCATCTAGAACACTAGCTTACTTGTGAACCAAAACCATAAGTCCTTCTGCAGTTTATTAGGCTCCCTTTTATTTACTTATTTATTTATGTATTTATTTTTAATGTGCTAGATGGTGTGTGTTCTTATGGTGGTAGGGGGCAGAGGGAGCAAGAAATGACACACAACCCTCCATAGGAGATGGTCACACCACAGTTCCTTCTTCTCTATTTCTGCTTTGGGGATTTGGGGCATACACATACCTGGTGTGTTTTTCAAGTTACCTGGTGCAGAGCTCAACCACGGTGGGTCATGTGGTATTCAGCCATTGTAACCACATGCTGGCCTTAACAGGTTCCCTTTAAATACTTTTTTTTTTTTGGAGAGGTTTTTTCGCTATAGGGTGCATGCGCTCGCCAGACAGACAGAGAGAGACATAGAGACAGAAAGCGAGAAATCACCCCCCAGGGGAGATGGTCACACCGCAATCCCTTCTCCTCCATTCTCCTCTTGGGATCTTGGGCACGCACGCACACGCGCCCGGCGTGAGATCTAAGCCACTGGGTCCGAGACGCGAACCACAGTCGACTACGTGGGAGTCCAGTGACATAGCCACTACACTAACTGCTGGTTCCCAAAAATACTTATTTTTCACTGTGTCTGTAAACTCATCCCTAAAGTTACAAAAGGATTTCTACTAACTTTGGTCCGTTCCCCTCCTTCAATACAGTAGCCACCTTCCTGATTAATATGGCAAGTTTATTCTTGCACTTGACATAACAATGACTCGGTGCATTCTGGGTGTTGCAATAGGTACTGAGGACCTCAGACTACCCTGGTTTCAGGAAAAAGTCCACATTTTAAACATGTTGTCACAAATCTGTTTGATAAATGCAATAATTAACTTTGAGCACAAAGATGGAACACCAGTGTAGCTTAGCCTTAAAGCTCTTCAGAAGACAAGATGAAAAATACTGAATCTAAGAGGATAGGCAAGTTTGGACAACAATGGATGAAGGGGAAGGTGTGGGCAGCAAAAAACATCAGGTAGATTTTTTGGTAAAAGGAGAAAAGTGAAACAGCAGTGGCATGAGAAAGAGCATGGCTAATTCAGGGAACTGTTGCACCTCTGCTCAAGTAGACTTTAGAAAAGTCGGAGGGCCAGCCCTATAGTGCAGGGGTTAAGGGAGCTGGATCCCACATGGCCAACCACAGTTTGAATACCAGCCTTGTTAGCTTGATATATATGCCAGGTTCATCTCTGTGCATGCTCAAAATCCTGATGGGAAGAAGGAATAGAGGGAAAAAGATTGCCATGTGACAAACCAATATTATAATTAATTTTTTTTTATAAAAAGCATTCTAATAAAGTTAAGAGAATTGGTTAGAGTCAGGCAAAACTAGAGATAGAGATTCATTATATCTCCCTAATAATCCAGGAAAGAAATTATGAGTGTTTAAATTAGGGCAGTAGCAGGAAGGATGGAGACATTATTGAGATAGAAATGCAGGTCTTTGTGACTAACTGAACATAAACATGAATTAGGAAACTCCAAAAATACTCCCAACATTCTGGCTTTGACAATTTGCTGCCAAATTCTATGGGCACCATTTTCTAAGAAAGAAAAACTCAAATGAAGGAATTAGAGTGATAAAGGAAGGGCCAATGACTTCAGTTTTGAACATGTTGATCTGTAGAGAGATTAAAGCTGAAAAATGATTTAAGACTCTTGACTATGAAACAGACCCAACATACATTTAATTGTTATCTCCCCTGACCATAACCTAAGTGAGATTTAGGTTCAAGAGGACTATAGGACCTATATGGGGAGCTTTGGGAGGACTTAAAGCTATTCAAGGCAATAAAGGAAGGTGAGAAGGGAAAAAAATTGAGGGGGCCACTCATTGTTAAGGAGTAGGTAGACAAAACAAAGACAACAAAGGATACAAAAAGTAAACAAAATATGAAAGTGATCAAGGAAGCCAAAAGTCCTATCACTGGGACTCTCAAGTATTCATTAAATTGAAAACCACAGAGGTTCCTAGAAGCTTGGTAAACAGATCCAGGAAAGTGAGATAAGTTAAAATGCAAATAAAGATATACATGGAAAAGAGGAAGTTGAAACAGAGTGTACCACTCTTTCAAGGAAATTAATATTCATTTCATAAGTAACTGTGTAATAACATTTTATTGACTTTTGATTAAAAACATTTCCTTATTAAACAGAAAAATCTACATATAATTAAACATCCTCTTGCTATGGGTCATAATTACAAACATTCATGCTTTAAAAGACTTTAGTAATGATCTTGAATAATAGAAGCATTGCTAGAAGTTTCTGGTAAATATTTCTATTGCTTCTCTCCATCTATCAGTAGTCATTTCTTAACATCTATCAATCAGGCTGCTTCTAGGAATCCTGATATACTATTTCTAATATGTTGTTCATTTTAGCCTAGAGCAAAACTCCATGTTGCCAAAAGTAATCTGTTTTTAGAAAATCCTTTTAATATCGAAGTTTCAAGATACCCCAGTATGCTCTAACCGTGAGGATACTTCAGGTCTTATTTATGGAGTAAAATGGTATAATGTGACTAATTCCTACTTCTCTAACTTTATTATTTTTTTCAATTATCAATAATTGCACCTCGGATAAACCTCATTGGCTACGATACTGCCACTGTGCAAAGCTCTAAAATTATTTTTTACCACCCTCTGCCCTTAAGTATTTCACTCTTCAGTGATTTCAACTTATTTACTCATGTCCTCATTAATTCATGTATTTACTTCTTCAACAATGACTGATTCTTTATTTTTCAACACTGTGCTAGTCAATGGTGGCAAGAAAATAAATAAAGCAAAAATTCCAGACATGAGCAAGCCCCTGACTTGTAGAAAAGCGCCACAGGTAATATATAATTATTGCCTAGTAGACAAAGAGTATAAGATGAGAGTAAAGTGGGTAATGTCAAAATACATGCCATTTATACGTATAGCATTTTTTTTCACACATTATTTACACATGCTTTTCCTCCACCTGGAATTCTCCCCAACTCTTTATTCTTCTAGCAAACTATATTCATTTTATCATGTTTCAAATTAATCCTTTTTCCTCTTTTGAGTTTCCCTAACATTACTTCTCTATACCTAATAAGTAACATATGCGGGACCAGCAGTTGGCATAATGGCTATGTCACTGGGCTTCCATGTAGTCAACCACAGTTCAAGTCCTGGACCAAGTGGCTTAAACACATGCCATGCGCGTGTGCATGGATGCCCAAGATCCTGAGAGGAGAAAGGAGGAGAAGGGATTGTGGCATGGCCATACTCCTAGGGGGTGATTTCTCACTTTCTGTCTCTGTGTCTCTCTCTGTCATCTTGATGACTGTATGCACACTATAGCAAAAACCTCTCCAAAAATAATAATAATAATAATAAAATAAGTGACATATGTAAATTACAAATCCAGATTTGTTCTTTTTTTCCATAATACAAGTGAAGATAAACTTCTTGGTTTTTTGTTACTGTTTTAGATGTAAATTTTATTAAAGTATGATGAGGCCAAAGGTCAATAGACAATTGTCATCGAAAAAGTATGTTTTTTATAGTTCCTAAGAGGGGGGAGCACAGCTCATCGAGCAGGGCACACAGGAAAGCACTAGGATCAGGCAAGAGACAGAAGGACCAAGGGGGAAATATAGGTAAGAGCTTTTATTGTGTTTTTCTTGGGACAGAATGGACAAATCAGGGTAAGCAGGCTTAGGGTTAGCCAGTTAGAATAACTTCAGCAGACTGGGACTTAGAAGGACTACCCTAGTTCTTTTTTTATTCATTTTTTTGTTTTCTTCCTCCCTAGACTACCCTCTGTCTGTAACTGCCTTCTCTTTTACTGTCTCTTCTCTTCTCTCCCCTTCTCTTCTCTCTTCCATCTCTGTTTTTTTTTTCACTCATTTCCCCTCTTCTTTTTGCTCTCTACCTCTTCTTTTTCTCTCTTCCCTTTCTTCTTTACTTTATTTCAACAAATATTAATCAATGCATAAGAGCAGTGCACTATTACAAGTGCTTATTTTATCATGTAGTCTTCACAGAATTCTGGGAAGTAGAAAATACTTGTCTGATTTAGTAGATGATTTGGACATAGAAAGGTTAAGCAATTTCCCAAGGTCACACAGATCATAGGCAGCAGATCTGGTGTTCAAAATAAGGTCTGTTTGAGTCCAGAATCAATATATTTAACTATTATTCTAAACACACAACATATGTTGTTACTGCCCTAAAACCATGGTTTATTTGAACCTAAATATCACCCCCACACCAGCCTGAGAATTAAACTGATTCACCAGGTACGCTCAGAACATATTAAATATTTGGGATACAACAGTGACAGTTCATTCATTCATTCAATGAATATTTATTGAGCATCTGATTTCTAGACCATGTTCCATAATTTATTTGGTATGTGACATTAAGAAAATACTTCATCTAAGTTTTGGTTTCTTCATATATAAAATGTAGACTGTAACATTAATCCTGCTGGTACCATAAACTTGCTTTGTAAATCAAAGTAGATGATACAAAAATATTTTGCAATTTACCTATGTAGTGAAATATAGATAATTCCTAGGCTTAGACCACTCATCCTGTGGTTGACAAAAATGTAAGGTCAGCATATTAAAGCCCAGTGGCTTCTAAGTAATGAACAGTATCTCTGTGCCAGCTAAGTACAAATTTGCTCTTGGGAAGCATTCAGTTGGACATTCTTGTCCTAAATTATATCCAAATGGTAGAATGTGCTTCTAGGTATTAATTCTTGACAAAATCATATAGGTTCTAATTATTGAAAGGAAATTCAAATAGTTATTTTATCCGATGAAAACTTCAAAGCCTTTCTCATTTGCAGGTCAGGGCTATATGTGGGAAGCATGGATTATATCTGACCTTGAGCCTACTGGAAACATTGCTTAACCATCAAGATCTGAGTTACCAAGATGAAATAAAGTAAGTTGACTTTTGTTATGAACTATAATGTTTGTATCGCTGCCTCTCAAAAATTTATAAGATGAAGCCCTAACTCACAATGTAATAATATTAGGTGGTATAGACTTTAGAAAATAATTAAATTTAGAAGAGGTCATGAGGGAGAACCTTTATGGTAGGATTAGTGCCCTTATAAGAAGAGAAAGAGATACAGAGCTTCCTCTATGCCATGTGAGGATACAGCAAGAAGGCAGTCATCTACCAGCCAGTAAGATGACCCTAACCAAAAACTGAATCTGTCACCACTTAGAAATTGGGCTTTCCAACCTCCAGAACTATGGAAAATGTGAATGCATTTTGTTTAAGCAACCCAATCTGTGCTATTTTGTGATAGCAGTTCAGGCTGATTAAGACAAGTTTTTATTCACGTTACCTTCTTTTAGGATAGCAAACACAGTTCTGTCTTCAGAAGTTTTATGTATGGTGGGACCAGCAGATGGCATAATGGTTATGTGACTGGACTCCCACGTAGTCGACTGCGGTTCAAGTCCCAAACCAGGTGAATTAAAAATCATGCTAGGTACATGTGTGCATATGCACAGGATCCCAACAGGAGAATGAAGGAGAAGGGATTGAGGCATGCCATCCCCCCCTACGGTGTGATTTCTCACTTTCTGCCTCTCTGTCACTTCAGCAAGCACATGCACCCTATAGCAAAAGTCTCTCTAAAAAAAAATTTAAAAAAAAGAAAGAAAGAAAGAAAGAAAGAAAAGAAAAAACAGTTTAACATGTAGAAAAATCAATTTTATCACTTGAAGACTGAGTTAAAAATCATTTGCTTTTATTAAGACCAAAGGGTCTTGGCCATAGAAATACAAAGCAAGACATTTCCTATTCTAGCCATTAGAAACTATCAAGAGGTAGATTTACCAATCCACCTTAAACAACTGAAAAATAAGACAGAAAAGTAATGGTTTTTAGATACTTGACATCAAACAGCACAGAACAGTAACTACTGAGAAAAGTAAAACAACTGAGGTAACCCAAGTTTATGGCATAGGAAAGAGAAATCCAACAGAACCCATTTTTATTCCTGAGTTAAATAAATAGCGTTCAGGAAGGTCAAGGAGGGAAGAATATACAATACAGAGGAGCAGAAAAGAGAGAAATATCCAGAGAGCTCTCTCCGATAATTCCAAGAACCACCCAATATATCTATTTGAGGAAACTACCCAAGGTCAGGCAAAGAAACACTGAACAAGGTATAAAATTTTTTAGATCTTACTTAGGGTTTAAAATAGTTCGTTCCCACCAGTCAGTGAGAAAGACCTCCTAATGTGGCATTGAGTAGACTCCTTACAAAGATATTAAATTGCACAAGAAACAAATTAATCTAGACAAACAACAAATCATAAAAGACCTTATAGAACTTAAAAATGATTGCACTATTTTTGAGCAACTTAACTACATCCAAATACAAAGTTCCCAAATTTCTAAGGAATAAAATTGCAGATAATCAAAAATGTAAAAATCACAATTTCTGGTATTCATACAAAAACAACCAGGCATAAAAAGAAGCAAGTATGCTCTATTATTAGGAGGAAAACCAACCAATAGAAGCAGATTTATAAATAACATAGATAACAGAATTAGTAGACAAGGATATTAAAATAAAAATTACATATATGTTTCACATGTTTAAAAAGGTATAGGAGAGCCTGACCATAATGAGAGATATGAAAGATATTTTAAAAGATTCAAATGGGGGCCAGCAGGTACCATGGTAGTTAAAGTGCTGGACTCCCACATGGTCAACTCCTGGCGGTCTGCTTTCTCAGTTTCTCTCTCACTTTCTTTCTCATCTGTGAGCACAGATGCCCTATAGCAAATTTAAATAACAATAATAACTAATAAAATTAAATAAATAATTCTAAAATGAAGGAGACCCAAATGCAACTTTTAGAGATGAAAAATACCCTGTTTTCGCTCCCTAAAGAACTAACTCCAAAAGATGAGAAAAACATTAGACAAATTACCAGAACAACTAGTAATACTCACATTTGTGAAGACCATTAAAAATAAAGAAAATCGGGATTAGCAGATGGTGTAATGGTTATGTTGCTGGACTCCCACTCAATCTACCACAGTTCAAGTCCTGAACTCTGCAGCCTAAAACTCACACTGGTTGTGTGTGTGTGTGTGTGTGTGTGTGTGTATGCCCAAGATCTCAAGAAGAGAATA